CCGCGGATTTTTCCCGGATTTTTTAGCGGATTTTTGAAGAGAAAATCTGTTGGATTTTCCGGATTTGTTCGGATTTTTTCCGGATTTTTTGAAGAAGCTTACGGGATTTTTGGATTTTTAAAAATCCGCGGATTTTTTAGCGGATTTTGCGGATTTTTCCCGGATTTTTAGCGGATTTTTGAAGAAAAAATCTGTTGGATTTTCCGGATTTGTTCGGATTTTTTCCGGATTTTTTGACGAAGTGTACGGGATTTTTGGAGTGAAATGCCCCTCGCCAACAACAGGCTTGTTGAAACTTGTTGTGACAGGACGAAAATTGTTTGTTGTGGACAGGTCTGTCGCAGGTCTGATAACAAGCTTGCTGCAGACTTGACAAAAACAACTCGCGACAGGTCTGTTGGAGCAAGTTGGAACAGACCTGTTGATTTCAACAGACTTGCTGCAAGTTGTTCTATCAGACCTGTTATCTCTTGTTAGTAACAGGTTTGTAGCGGGTTGTTTCAACAAGTCGCTACGGCTCTGTTGTCAACAGCTTGCGACAGACCTGTTCCCGCAAGCCTGTTACCGCCTGACGAAACCAACAGACCTGTCGCGACTTGTTGACAACTTGCCGCAAGCCGGTAAAATCAACAGCTTGCGACAGACCTGTGAGATTTCTGGCTGTGTAGCTTTTGAATAAGTGCGCTTGTGATAGAAAAAAATTGTCAAACTACAAATTTTGTTCGTCTGTATGTGTCGACAAAGAAAACTTGTCAAAGTAATCTTGAGCATTTAATGTGATTGGCCAGTCGGCCACTAATAAATTGTCAAAGTAAACTTGTTGATACGTTCATACCAGTAAATAAAACTTGACATATGAAAATTTGTCATGTAAAATTTGTTGCATATACACACGTGCACTTGGCAAATAAAACTTTTCACATAAAAACTTGTCATAGAAAACTTGCTCGTCTGTAACCGACTTAAGAGGCTGTCTCTGTAAAAACCGCCCGCTCGAATTTCATTTCAAACATGATCTTCGCTAAAACTCTGGCAACTGGAAGGCTTTACCAAACATAAAATAAAAACAGTCTCGGTTTGGTTGAAAACGATTTTCCAGTCGCGCTGCAAATAACGAAATATTTCCCCCCTTCAAGGCCTGTTGGGACGTCTCGAAAATTGAAAATTACGCATTTTTCATTGATCCGTAAAATATTATATTCGCGTCAACTAGCAATGAATTTTATGTCATTTCACTCATAAAACTTTCTAGATTTTTCTTGAAGAGGAGGAATTTTTACCTAATATTAGTTGTAAAGGAAAAATTAAGCACAGTGTAAACCCTACTTATGACTATAAATCAAAGAGTGGAAATGGCCTTGATTTAGATTCTATTTTTCAAACTTTGGGACCTTGTCAATAGCTCGGGCCTATTTTTCAAGGAAGTATAGTCCTTTGTTGGCAAATATATGCAAAAAACCCTGTACGATTTCAGTATTTCAAAAGTTATGGCCGTTTGTATCAACACACATGCGTGTATTTGCGATGAGTCGTCATATTGTAAAATCACTCTCTCTTGTGCAGATTCTAACTTAAATGCAACAATATATAGCTTACCTTGTTACTAACTCAAGTTTATTTCCTTTTTAAGTCAATTTCCAATTCCTCGCATGGCCGATCCCATCATTAAACACGAGTGTATCTAAAAGTCGAGGGTCGAGAGTCGAGAGTAAAGGTCGAGAGTCGAGAGTAAAAGTCGAGCGTCGAGAGTAAAAGTCGAGAGTCGAGAGTAAAAGTCGAGAGTCAAGAGTAAAAAGTCGAGAGTCGAGAGTAAAAAATAGAGAGTCGAGAGTAAAAAGTCGAGAGTCGATCGAGAGTAAAAAGTCGATCGAGAGTAACTGAAAAGTCGAGAGTCGGCAAAATTGTCATCAGAAACAACAAAGTCAAAATATTTTTAACACAATATATATTAACCGATCCGTAACAACAGCTGATTATAGCCGTGTGGACGAGGGGGGGGGGAGGCAGTCCCGCCCCCCAGTCAAAATAAATAAGTCATGCAAATTATAAACGTATAAATTTGGGCAAAAATTGGGGGAAATAAATTTAAAAAGAAGACAGTACATGCAATATGGTATTTGAAAATACCAGACAGAAATATGTAAAAGTAACGAGGAATCGACAAATAGGAAAATATTTTTGTCTACTTCCCAACGACAATTTTGGAAATTTAGTTACGCGGAAAATTTATTGAGTGGGTAAAAGTCGGGTAAATTTTCTTTCTGGCTCCCTGATTTTTTCCCGCTCGCGTACGCTTATGACGGCTGAACTAATTTCATTTCCTATATCGGAACATAAAGCAAACAATATTTGAGAAACATATAATTAGTATGCTCAAATTCTCGAAATTAAAGTAAACAAGAGGCATATACAATCAAAGGAATAATCCAGTATAATATAAAACTTTCGCAGACATTTAGCTACAACATTCAATAATAATAACTATTATCTAATAACTAGTTTTATCGCTTCCTTATATATTACTGTCCATCCTTCCCGCTTTTACATGCACCTATTTCCGCGAAAAATTACTCATATCACATATGTGAAGCTACATATAAATACTAGGACTTTACAATCACGTGCGAGACATATGACCACCCGATAGAGTCACACATACGACAAAACAATCCTATTTTTACTGGCTCGTATTTATGAATTCACAATTGTATGAATCGTTAGATCGATTGTGATCAACGTGGATTTCTTAATACGCTCTCGTTTGATATAAACGTACGTTAATGAATACTGTGAGTGACATTTTAGAGGGTCCTGAAGGGGTAAAATGGGAACTGGGATTTGCTTATTTTTGGGTGGGAAATTGGGATTTTATGCACTGGGACTGGGATTCATCAGCAAAAAAACAATAGAAAATGGGAATGGGATCAAGATTTGAGCAGGACAGCCACTGAGATGATGGGATTTGTGCTCTGGGACAATGGGATTTACATGGGCGTACGGGAAGGAAATAATTAGGGGGGGGGCGGAAAAAATTTGCCCCACTTTTTCGGATTGTGCCCGCGTTGTTGCCCGACTGTGAAGCGAATATTGCCCGACTGGCTTTGTTTGTCCAACAAACTGGGGGGGGGCTCCCCCCCCCCGCCCGGTACGCCCATAGGGATTTAGTCAAAATTTGGGCTGGGAAATGGGAATACGACCCCCCCCCCTTCAGGACCCTCATTTTAGTTACAAGCCTGGAGATGGCTGTCAAAATTCAGCGGAGTTTATGTGTCAGAATGAAATGACATGTGAAAACACTTAGCAAGATTGAGGCATCAAATGCGATATTATTTGTATTTCAGCCGTTGCTACTTGTTACGGAATGGCTATGTAAAGCTATATATAGATTGTGTTAAACGTGGTTAAAAATATTTTGACTTTGTTGTTTCTGATGACATTTGCCGACTCTCGACTTTTTACTCTCGATCGACTCTCAACTTTTTACTCTCGACTCTCGACTTTTTACTCTCGACTTTTTACTCTCGACTTTTTACTCTCGACTCTCGACTTTTACTCTCGACTCTCGACTTTTACTCGCGACTCTCGACCTTTACTCTCGACTCTCGACCCTCGACTTTTAGATACACTCGTTCTGCAAGTGTTATGTAATTCGAAGGTCGCGGGTTCAAAACCCAGCCGCGGAAGATAACATCTTTCTGCTTGCGCTGGGTATGGAAATTATATAACACGCACTCTAGAACATTTTCATATATATATATATATATATATATATATATATATATATATATATATATATATATATATATATATATATATATATATATATAACAATTTAACATATATAGAAACAGCAGCAAGCAAGTGCGGCCATTTTGTGAAAAAAACATTGAAAACCTATGCGTACTTAATTAATATTCGGTAAATACTGCCCAATCAACACAAGGAGTCACACCGTTCTTTGCATAACCATTTTCCAACAGAATATTATACTAATAGAACTGCTAAAATTTGATGGCTAATTGTTGCATCGGTTTGAACACGTGCACCAACAATCGTACAACAACTGTCCAACAAATGTTGCATCCGTTTAAATAGGCTTTAACGAGCGGAGTGATTCTAAGGAAAGCTGCGCAGTAGGACTATAAAGGGTGGCGTCAGAAGGCCTTGAAACTGGCGGGTTTTCTGTGTGATCATTGTGGCTTCGCAACAGAATATTACGCGAACCAGAAAGAGATATATTTCGCTGTGTCATGCAACAAGAGATCTGCACATCGCCGTGTAGTCCGTCGCAGAATTGGTTGTTGGTTGT